GCCGGGGCCAAGTTCCCATCTGCATTGGTGGTGGTGGTGGTGGTGGAGGAGGAGGTGGTTCCAGCCACCAGGGCCAAGGTCCCATCTGCATTGGAGGTGGCAGCATAGGAGGAGGAGGGGGAGGTGGTGGTGGTTCAGGCCACCAGGGTCAAGGATCCATCTGCATCATTGGGGGAGGTGGCTCAGGCCACCAGAGCCAGGGATCGTCCTCTTGTGGAGGAGGTGGTGGTGGAGGAGGTTCGTCCAGTTCTGGAGGTCTGTCCATTCAACAGCAGACCCAGCCAATCTCCTGGCCACCGCAGACTAAACACAAGTAATGTCTGCAGAAGGGACTCTCAGATCAAGAAAGCCCAAGATACAAACATGCCTCACATTTCTTTCTCTATTAAATTTAAGAATATTTGCATTATTCCTTTCTCCTCTTCCTTGGGATTTTTCTGTTCAGCTCTCCAGCTGACCAGAGCCTCTGGTGTTGTGTATCAATAACTTCCAACCAGCGTTGTTTCATATGTCTGTTACCTGCCTCAATTTTCTAGTGCTTGCACAAGACAATAAAACTTGCAGTTCTAGAGAGCTTCAGTGTCTGAGTGGTTGGATTTTGCTTTATACCACGACGTTTGCATTATTTCCATTATTTTGTTTTTATTCTGAGCTGATGCTGTGGTAATAAAGCTCCAGAGCACAAGTGTGTTGAAAACCCACCTGTAGAAGAGATGCCGGATTCACTAAATATTCTTAGTTCATCTTTTAATGTCTGTCGCTACTCGTGATCCTGACGTTTGCCCATCAGATAGGGTACCACAAAGTTAAACATTGCAGTCTCTCTCTACCTCATCAAAATGTCATGCAATGCCCAAGGAAGTTTTAAATGGGTTAGGAGAGGAAAGATGCAAAAACTCTAGTACAAAGGATTACAAGGTACTATTACAGGCGTGAAGCTGAGGCCCTTGCATGTGCATGGTGCAGGAGCTTTTGGTGCTCATAGCTGCACCAAGCAGCTGCGGAAGAGAAATGAAGGGTCTCTCCAACCCTTACTCCAGCTCTAGTGGAGCCAGCGGCAGGGACAGGACGTCAGAAAGCCCCTTCCAAAGGCTGAGATGGAACTCAGCCTGGAGTAACTAGGGATCTCCTCATTCCCACAGGAATAAAACACAGCTCCGGGTATGAGTCTTCAGAGAGAGTTTCCCTGTGGGAAGTGATTTCTTTGATGTGGTATATTCTGGCAATTAGCAGGGAAAGGAAAATAAACCTTCTCTGCCTGAACTATTCTATGTGAGGCAGATGACAGATGCCTGGAAGTGTCCCAGAAGAGACAGGAGTGACCCATACCTATAGCGGGTAAAAGAGCTCCACGTTTATGTGTCCCTCTACCTTCTGTCCTCTCCCCCTTGGGGACCCCAGGGATGCAAGCATTCTTAAAACATGTCCGGATGAGCTCCTCCAGCCAGTGCTGCCACTGGAACAGCAGAGTTGCCTGGGATTTTATTATGGAAAGTCATAAGGTGCTAAAATACCAGTGACTGGGAACTACACAAACACTGCCGTTGCCTGCACGGTGCTAACAGAAAGCTTGGGGTCCCACTTCAAGGAGGTGGGAGCATTGCTGTTGAATGTCCCTGCACCCAGAAATGGCCCAGGACCAAGAAAGCAGAGGCTCTCAGGGTGACAGCAGGAGCACAGGGCATCCTCAGCTCTTGTTGCTTCTTCAGAAACAACAGAGCCATGTCCCAAACTGGGGCGAATTCATTCTTTTGGTTAATATCCATCAAGATGCTGATACACAGGGTGGATGTTGGATCTGGTACCCTCTACCTGCAGCACTTCAACTCCTCCGCCCAGAGACAGTGTAAAGCCTGCCTGACCTCTGTACTGTCCATAGTGGTGCACTCAAACAAAAATCATGATCAACACTTCACTGGTGTAGTGGCGAAGTCCAGGCATGTGAGATTCCTTTGCTGCCCCAGCAACAGCAGTCCTACCCAGTGGAGCCCGCTCCATTCCCCTGGGCATCTCCATAGTCTGTAACACACAATAAACACAAGTCTCCACAGCCCCTTCTGCTGTCAGTCACCACCCCAGCAGCATCTCCCAGCTCGAGTGGAGGGTGCTAGCTAGAGTCCCACAGTCCTACCTTGAAAGTCAACCATGGCAGCTGAGCTCACACGTGATACCCGCAGCCAAACTGCAGGTAGCCTAGGAAGTGATGCACTAGAGAGGCATTGATCTGATTCGATGAGTCAGGACCAGTGGGCTGAAGGAGGACAGTTTGTTTAGTAAATAAACTTATCACCATTCCTTTGGATGCCTCACTTCCCACTCAGGAAAACTAGGAACAGTATAAAAGTTGCTGGATCTCACAGTGCTTCATTCGCTCAGCTTTGCTCTGTTGTACGCGTCGTCAGAGCCGAGAAGGGTAAGTCCATTTCTGCCAAAGGGAGCAATTCTTCTCTTACTTTCATGCTTGCAAAACATAAATGCATGGGTGAAGTACACCCGATGGGTGGTGGCTTGAAGGGCGGGAAGGTTGCTTTGATGAAATTAAATTTCCTGTGGATGTCAGAAGAAGCAGGATCATGCCGTGCTACTGAAAGTCATGTGTTTCATCAGTATAGAGACCGAGATGGAACAGCTATGGGATGAAAGACTTTAAATGATGGGTTGACTTCAGCAATCCGGTAATCTCCTGTTAGCAAAAGGCTCTATCTGTGACTGGGATCCATGGACAACAAAGTGCTTAGAAGAAAGGAAGTTCATTGGTTCTGGAGACGGTCTGCCAATGTTGTGGGGCTGTACATGGGTCCTTCTGGCTGGGGGAAATTCTCGTGACGACAGTGCCTGCTCGTGAGTAAAAATCACTGTTTCTTACAGGTTCACTGCTCAAAGATGTGCTCCAGACAGACCTCCGGAGGCTGCCATGAAACATCCTCCCAGTCCAGCGGATGCCACAGCGGGGGCTCCTGCTGCCACGGGGGCAGCTCCTCCAGCTACCAGGCACAGGGCTCCTCCTGCTGTGGCGGCTCAGGCTCGGGCAGCTACGGCGGGGGCAGCGGGGGCTCTGGCAAGATCATTGTCACCTCTGGCGGAGGAGGAGGAGGCTCATCAGGCTGCTGCAGTGGGGGATCCAGTGGTGGGTCTTCAGGAGCAAAGATCATAATTGGAGGTGGAGGTAGTGGGGGATCCTCTGGATGCTGCAGTGGAGGATCCGGTGGTGGGTATTCCGGATCAAAGAGCATAATTGGAGGTGGAGGTAGTGGGGGATCATCCGGATGCTGCAGTGGGGGATCCGGTGGTGGGTCTTCAGGAGGC